TGATAGGCCATTATCGTGAAATAAGTTGCGTTTCCTTTTTCTGGAACATTTAAAATATAAATGCTTCTAGATAACAATTTCCTTGTTAGCTGAGAAATTTATTTAAGCACTAAATGTAAAGAATAAGGTGCACAAATCTTTTCTTAGATGAAGTCCTTTTTGAATTTTGCTACTTATTTTATTTCATAAATAGTGTGTTGTGAACCCGTACATTGTGCTGGGGAAGTGGGGGGGGGGGGCGGACACGGACGACCCGTGGAAGTTCAGTGGTGGTGTTCTTGCCCCTTCCCCTTCTGATACTCAACTGTTAGATCCTGCCTCCCCCTCCACCTTTTTTTTTTAAACCAATTCTGATACTGGCTGTTTCTTCGATGCATTGGCTAATTTCTCTGCTGGGTTCAATAATTTGTTGCTATAACCCCAGAACTCATAGACAGTATTCTCAATTATGGGGTTTATGAAGGAGGTTGTTGTTGTTGTTGTTATGTGCCGTCAAGTCAGTTCCAACCCATAGCGACCCTGCATAGGGTTTCCGAGGAGCAGCTGGTGAGCTTGAACTGCCAACTGCAGTTCACATGGCTTTGCAGTCTGGCGCATTAACTCACAGCGCCACACCAGGACTCCTATGAAGGAGGTACCATGTTATAATTCATGGCCAGAAAAGACTCAGGATACGGTTCTGCAGTCAGGACAGTCTCGTCTCAGCTCTGCCTTCAGATAAGCCTCTTCTGGTCCTTGGTCTTTCAACCCGAGGTCCCAGGGGCATCTTGAGCTGTCCAGCCTCTATTGGGCTAGTGGTACAAAGCTCTTTCTCATGACTGTTAAGGGTCCACAGGTATCTCACTCTGACAGCAAGCCTTCTATCCAAAGGCACAGAGTAGGTTGGCAAGCCTTGTGCCATTGATAGTGCCAAGGACACCCCACTCCTTTAGCAGTCTCCTGCCCGAAGGTGCTCAGCCTTCTCCCTCCGTGGACTGGGAAACCCACTGCACCCTCTCAGGTCTGTCTCCTGGTTCTCCTGTCTGTGGTGGGGTTGTTTTGGTGCTTTTTCCATCTCTGGTGTTAAAATGTACTGTCCCCTGGGTCTAGGAGGATTCTGTGTAGGGACCCTGGGTTGAAAGGACATGCTCTGCTCCTGTCTCTTGGTAAAAGTCAGATCCCGTCGTCTCCTCCTGTGCACTGGGATTGACTTTCTTTAAAGCTTAGTGACAGAATTGACCAATCCCCTTGTTAGGTGTCTATATACCTTATTGACATTATTAGCAAACTATCTAGAAGCATGTTTGCATAGTATATGACCCAGGCTATTGATGGGAGTCACATAGAGTGATAATTGAAATGACCAGAGATTGGTGTTAAGTGCTGTCAAGTGGGTTCTAATTCACAACAACCCTGCATAGAGGCTGTACATCTTTGTGGGAGCAGAAAGCTACCTCTTCACACTGTGGAGCTACTGTTAGGCACAAACAGATGACCTTGTGGTTCCCAGTCCAGTGCTTATCATGCAGAACTGGTAATAAGTATGATGACTTTGGATTATCATTGGACTTGATGGAGCATTTATTTATTTTTTAATGTTTTATTGTGAATTATGTGACAGTTTACATGGGAGAACATTGGTTTTACATTCATTCTATTGTATATCGTCTCATTGCCATGGTTACAATCCCCTCCATGCATCCTTCCCCCC